GCGGCGTCCCAATCGAGATTAAAAAGAAGCGAGCTCGACCAGCTTCTTTTTATCAGTTCCGTTGTGCAACACAGGGATATCCATACAAAGATTTCCGACTACTGGGTTTTCCTCTCGGCATGAATATGCAGACTTGTTGCACGGATGGGATCCTGCATAGTTTTCATCCTGTACTATCATCGTCTACCCCTTTTGGATCATGGAACCATGCAGGTCTGTCTAGTGCTTGCAGTGTCAAACACACATTGTTTCATTACGTCTAGTGGCATAGAAGGAGTCATGGTGACTGTTGTGTTTTGCTTTTTCCGTTGCGTGATCATTCCTCAATTTCTCAAGGCTAATAAACAAAACGGGGAAGTGGGGTGAGAGGTACATAAGATATGGCGTACGTTTGCGTGTGTAGTTGTTGATGTCTGTCTCACAAGTGCTAGCTCTTAACACCTCGTATACCCCATTGGGCACGGCAAGAAGAGCTGCTGGAAAAAAGAATGACGCGAGTGCCGAGCATGTCCAACTTGGTGGCACCCGTACCCCAACATACTAGACTAGGGGCTACAGTCCATCCACTCTATAATCAGCGTCCCAGCGTTGTTTTCCTGAGCCAATTCAGCCCCAGGCAAACACAGTCAGACGCATGCAGGGTACATGCCATAGAACGCCTGAGCCTTTTTTCAAATCCCAACCTAAGCACCGCAAGGACTACAGATGATTGACTTTTTACACCCAGGGATAGCTTGCAGAATTAAGGGAGGCTTCGCTTTGGGATATCGGAATACCCGAAGCCTGGGAAGCGCTCACGTCAAGTCCAGCGGCAAGGGGCCCATTCTATCTTGGATTTTTCGCTGCGCTAAGGCCCACAGAGGAGGACCTAGCAGATGAAGACTACGAGAGGAAGGCAACCTGAGCACTTGCTTTTTGGAGAATGGTCCTCATTCTAAATAGAGAAGATTTTCTTGGCTGTTGCTATGGCTGGCTGCCCCAAGGAAGCCAAGCTCATAGGACTTAGGGCCATGTAGAGCTCACATAAAGTCGGTCTAGTACATGGAGTCGCAGGGGTGAAGCTCTTAGAGTGAGATGTGCTGCAGGTGGGTTTGAAGGGTGTCGTCTGGAATGCTGAAAGGTTGGAAGGGGACCCAGATGCTTAGACACGGCTTTTTACTCAGATGTGCAATTGCGGATTCGTCCTGCGAGTGCTTCTTCGCGCAGATCTTATTTTGAATGCCAGGGCCATGCTTACGGACCCTTGGCCGAGATTGTTCCTTTGATCAGGCTTATAGAACTCTCCAGAAACGACATTCACCTGAACATGTGTTTGGAGAGCTGTTTGCTAGCAACATCTCCGGACCCCATGATCTGCACATCAGTGCTGGTGCGGTGCCACAAGGAAGTGCCGTGCCCCCTTCGTCAGACACATTTTGTTTAAGGGGCCTATAGGTTTTAGGGTTATGTCGGCGGCTGCACAGGAAAGTTCTTTCTAGGCTCTACGCACAAGTTTGGGTAGGTTTCACAAACGGGCTTCCTAAGGCAGACCCTTTCCAGGCCCTCCACAGACCTCAAGCATGGCAGATCTCATCCGCTGATTTGGATCGACGCCCAAAACTCAAGGAATTCAGCGCACGTTGGACCGGTAGGTGAATTGTGCCTGATGTCGTCCCTTCAGCCCAAAGGAGATTTGGTCGGTTTGGCCATTTGGGTTTGCATCATCAGCAGTTTCGTATCCTTTGTAGCCAGCTGCATCCTTTTACCTTCTGGAGCAGGTCGACTTGTGGATCCCTCCCAGGACTTCACTCGCCTTGGGGGCACTTGCAACATCATCGAAGTGATCCACAGCGTGAAGCTCAGCGACAAGGGGTATGACTGCTTGGAATGCTGGGACGTCTACAGATACCGATTTCTCTACGAAGTTGAAGGTGAAAGCTACCTGTCGCGGGAAGAGCGGTTTTTCAGGAACGAGATCTCAACCGACCCTGACCCCGCTGTATATAACGGCCGTTGCGAAGATGAACCTAAGCAACCTGGCACATTCCGCATGGGACAGGAAATCCCATGCTGGTTGGGCAAGGCTGCAGTCGACCGACTCCGAAATATGTACAAGTGCGAGATTGAAAGTGACGAGCGTTGCCTAAAGATCTTCGACCCAGCCGAAGAGGAGGGCGCTCGTACAGGGCCGATCATGATCGCTGTTGGCGCTTCGCTGCTGGCTTTGGCCCTGGGACTCTTGCTTGTGGTGATCTGGCTTTGCAGAATCCGGAAATCACGAGTGAGCCACCAGGTGAGCCAAGAGGTAAGCAACGAGATGAGCAACGAGGTGAGTAACGAGAAGCCCATCACAGCTAAGCAAGCAGAGGCCTGAGAGCTGCAATGAATTCTGACAACCTTACCGGACCGGTGTTAGGATGGTTCGCATCGCTTCAATCCAGGATGGCTCGTATGGCTTCACTGCAGGATGGTTCACTTGTTTCACTTCGATTTTGCCAGCTGATCTGTGTGCTAAACACGCTTGTGGTTTAGGAGACTGGGCATTGAAAACACGTGGAGGTTTGACAACAGAGCCTTCATTGAGATGTTGCAGAAGTGCATGAGTTCTCTGACACCTGTTGAGGCCTCCGCCAGTGAGTTGGCAAACATTTTTGAGCAAATGAAGTTGGGCTGAAAGCCAGACATTTGCCTCGTGCAGTGTCGCTGTATAGTATAGTAGTGAGCGTCACTGGTGCAAGCCGTTCATAGTTAGAAAAAGGAAATGGCATCCTCTCGGGAAGATGGAAATCTCCTAGATATTCTTAGAGACCACACTCTTGAAGAATGCCGTTTCTGCTTGCCGGCCTGCGCCATCCAGAATCCCGACTAGGAAACAAGCCTTTGAAGCCCTAATATACATATCTCAGAGTAACTCAATCAGCATTTTGGGACTGCTGACATCCCAACTCAGAATCATGTATTGAGCCCAGACCTACATTGCTATGATGTGACTATTGGAGCAGCCTTTAAACAATCATTCCTCACATGCCCCCGCTTTGCCCCCATGAGCACTAATGAGCTAAGTTTGCACCCTGGACAACACCCATTTTTAAAAATTGCTCAGGGTACAACTTAACAATGCCTAGCTGAACCCTAAATCCTGTAAAGGTTACACTGGATATAGCAAGTGACTCTGCAGGCGGAGCATGTGCGAAAGGCAAAGGAGGCTGCCGAGGAGCTTTGTGATTTTCAGGCTTGAAAATCACCCAAAGATGTAAAGACATTATGTGTCTTTCACATTTCCGTGTAAGACTGCTGCACTTTGTGTGACCTCCGGCTTGTCGACTCATCGGCTCTAATTCGCTTCTCTTCGAGGCAGTAGACCGTGGTTGCGGAGGGCCACATTTGATATCCCTTTGCAATGTCTGTCATCTGAATGCATGCCATGGAGAACCTAGGAACTTAAGCAGTAGAAAGACACAAGCACCCAGCAAAGACCCTCAACCAGATCGAGAAAGGCTTCCGTCAGAGCCTCCGCATGCCATTTGAAGCATTGTATCTGGGAGACCGCGGGGAGGATTCAAAATCTTAATCATGCTCAATTTTATTAGTCTAGTCCGGTCAATAGTACAACTAGCAAATTATGATAGTTGTCGGTGCAAACAGACTCTGCCGGAGGAGCTTCGACTGCGGACCTGCCATATTGCAGGCTTAGCCGAGGATACCGACCCTGAGTCCATCAGGCGCCCAGCCACCTTCTTCAGATGCCTCGTAGGAGGGTTTAAGGATTCGGATTTAAGATTCTCGGAAAAATTCTGAGAAAGTTTTATGGTGTAGGGCCTTTTCTTCAGGTTTATGGTGACCCAGTAGCTTACAAGTCGCAGCACGTGCACATTCCCTGGAGATTTAGAAGCCCTGGAACGCAGTGAAATCCAGTGTTCCAGCCCTGAAGCCCCAAATATGGGCTGTATATAGGGATTATCTGGCGTTGAAGGATATTTCCCCAATCACCCTTGAACTCTATAGAGATGAAAGCCTGTTGCATTACAATCATAAGCTGAACTGTAACCCGGTATCCCAACGTATCCACATATTTCAAGGCAGGATAAAGACAAGAGTAACAATGATAGCATGAATAAGAATATTAGTAGTACTTGCAAGAAAAAAGTAAATGTGATAGTGATACAATGATGTTAATTTACATGCAATCCTTCTTCAAAGCCATCCCATACAAGTCCATTACTGAGCAAAAGCACTTGAAAGAAACCGTTTCACAGCATTCCACAGTACTCAGGGAAGCACAAGGGAGGGAACGTACAAACGCACTACATATGATTACTCATTATGGACGGGTTCATCAACAGGATGTACCTAGAGCTAGAAAATCAGAAAGAATCATCCTCACCCATCAAAGTATCGGATCTCCCTGCCTTGCCTGAGAATATGGAGCTTTGAGTCTTTTTAGAGGAGTCGTCCACTGGAGAAGGGGTCCAAATGGTCTTGGCGGACCCTGAATCCATACCCGGTATACCTTGCAGCCAGGAAGCTCTGTGAAGGCTGGGGCGAGGTGGAGACCCTCAGGACCATTCCATGTTCAGTGGGGAGTTTGGGTACATTTCTCAAGCATTGATCATTGCCTGGCGCGCAACTTGAATGCAAAGTACTGTGACCGCACTAGGCTCGGCTGGCATGGAGTCAACCATGTCGATCGATTCCCTTGACTTGAGTGTGTGCACTTGATGCCTGGATTCTTGAATGCTTCGAGCTGTGCAAGAGGCACACGTGCAGCATGCCTGCATCTCTTCACACCTGCCTGGCATTGTTGGCAAGATGATGCTGCGGCACCGGGTACCTCCCCCTCTTTAATCTGTAGCAACCACAACGACGACGACAACGACGACTCCAACGACGACGGCGCCAGCATCACGCTCTCCTAGCACGAAGCATGCACTGCGACATTTCGACTTTTTGACCTGCAGGATTCAGGGCGGGAGGGGTGTGGTAATTGCGACGGGCCAGGTGATTACGGAGGGCAATATATTATTGCCGGCCTCCTCAATGAGTGGACCAAAGTTGAGACCTTTATTTGTCAACAAGATATCCCAGCAGGATGGTTGGTAGCGGATAAACAGCTTCTAAGAACTGAAGAGTAAGTCTGCGTGCTGAAGGCTGCTTATGTCTGACCAGCGCATGCGTCTTCCTACTTCTTGGCATCCCTTCGCAAATGGGCCTAGGGCATTGCTTCTGTTGTAGTGGCAGCATGCAAGCAGGATGTGGAAGAGTAGGATCGCGGTCCCCCAAACCCTCCCTTTACTGGTATGTATTAGAGGGGAATCCGTTATCCAACCAAACTATACCTTTATTCCCCACTAGCAACCACTAAGGCAAACCCACCGAACCCTAAACCCTAATCCCCAAGCAGGATAGACAAGGATGCAGACGGCATCATCCTTAGAGCTTGTCGTGGGTGAAACATTGCCCTAACTGGTTGTTAGTAGGCTTAGGGTTCAGGGCTTAGGGTTGTTAGGGGATAAGGGGAGATATTGGGGTTCTATAGGGATAGTGGAAAAGAACATGGAAACTATTACGTTATAATGGGGTAAATATATTGGGGTTATAGTAGGGAATAAGGGCATATGTTATGCAGGGGTCATGTAGGGATCATATTCCCTTATTCCCTGCTAAGAACTAGTAAGTTGCCCTTCCATATAGAACCCAGCGCCACATTCGGGACTTCAGGGATTCCCACCCTAAACCTTGAAAGGTTTTCTCGGGCGATAGTAACCCACTGGGTGGTCCCCGCGTCCCTACGCAAAGGTTTAGTGAGCAAAGGGTCTATGTTTGATAGTCAAATGTCAGGCTCGGGGAGTTGCGTTTTGGACGGGCATGGGTCACTTCTAGGCTGCACTTGAATCCTTCATGCTTTTGAGCAAAAGCTCCTGAGTACCTCAAGCCCCAAGTTCGCGTGCAAAAGGTGACAAACAGGATTGGCCCAGGCTCTCCTTCGTCCGCCACGTGACCCAAAGCTTCCAACAACTGGGATGATATGCGGAGGGTTATCCGTGCATGAGTGGTTCCGGAAGCTTCGGGCAATCCCTCTACTCGCCAGTTTAGATCAACATCACGTCTAAGCCCAGGCTTGTAGGAGCTAGCTTCACCAAGACTTCTCTCAGTTCACGTGCAGTTGTTGCCTTTGCTCAAGCTTTGACACCTGCATGTGCTGACTCCAGTTTGGACACCGCAAAACACAATCAAAGAGGCCCCAGATGGAACTGATGTTTCTTTGCAATCACGTAGTTTTCTGCTGGGTGCTGCCATGTTCTGCCCAAGCATGTTTTCAGCAATGCATTCAGAAAGGTTGTTTTTGCAGCATTCTACCTTCGCGGTCCCAAGTGCAAACCCGCATTCATTGGTTTGAAGCGCAAGCAGCGCAACTTTCGGAGAAATGGTTGTTGGCCATTGTCCGTTCAGACCAAGGTCTGACCTTCGGCCTTGTTGAATTCAAGGACTCGGACGAGTACTGTCGGACCTTGCAAGAGGGCTCGGGCGCTATGCTGCGCTTAGCAAACGTGTAGCAGTTGAAACGCCAGTCGTCCCCACTAGTTGCAGAGCGTGCTTGGAAATTCTAGGAGGCAGGACCACTGAAGAACAGGTCAACATCTTTGATTAGCTTGACCTGCGAGTGGCAACAGCCCGAAAAATTGCTAGCATCATTTGCATACAACTTCTATGAGCAGTGGCTACCTCGTGAGCTACCTTTGAATGACTTCGACCCCCCTAGGTTCCTATATCCCAGGTCATTTTCTCTCAACAAGCCGCGAGACCTCAAGCCTGAACCTGGCATCCAGACAAGTAGCTGTAGGCATATACGCGCACCACGCTTCTACAACCGCTTGAAAGCTGTAAGGTAAAAGAAGGTGATCTAAAAAAGATGGCCCGCCATAGGGTTGTCCCCGCTTCGCGGTGACGGGCCATGAAATTCAACATGCTACAATTTATTGTCCTGTTTAAGGCTTAGGATCAACGTCAGCTTTATGTCTTGAACCCTCAACGCAAGGGCGGAGCAAAAGTCACAGACGTTGCAGTTGCAGCAGATGAGGGTTCAATACTTATGCCTCCCATTATGCCTCTTTCTCGTTGCGACCATCGGCTGATTCTAGAAACCTGGACGCAAAGCTAGGCAGCCACAACTGAACCCCAAAAATCTGGACAGGCCCAAGATTGAAATCTTGCCTAGTGCCCATCTGCAGAGGAGACGAAGGTTGCCCACGTCTGAGGCTCAACTTGCTCTACACCGCTTTATCGGTTTAGCGCGATGTGTACGGTGTTTCTTGTGGGGAGACGTTTCGCAGCCCTGTACTCCTCCCCAGTTGCACCATCAGGTGGACAGTCGTTTCCTGGATGCTCTTATTCTGATGGGTTTAGGTTTGGTTGCTTCGTGTTTGGGGGGTTTGGCCCTTCAAAGTTTGCTTAGTCGAAGAAACGAGCAAAAGCAAATTACTTGGCAGGGCTGGGGAGTCGCCTTCCACTTCTCGAGATGGATCTTTGCATGCAGGGGAGTGTTCATGCCGAGTTCAGGGTCTGTCAAGAGGTGTGGGGTCTGTGGCCGGCTTGAAGGCTTGCAGGGCATGCATTCAGGACACATTGCTCTGACCGGTCCGGCATAGTGTAGATCTTGGGTCCCTTGGCCAGACCGTTATGCTGTCATTCTGTGTAATGACAGCATCCCATTGAAGGAAAGCAGCCGAGCCAAGCCAGAAGCTGGAGTGTGGGATGAGGTCGTGAAGATGCAGCGGTCTTTCCTTGTGGATGACGACCGGGTTCTGGTGTTCACAGAGGCCATGTAAGGATTGATGCAGCTGGCCATTTCTCTGCTGACGCCCCCTTTAGAAAGGCAGCTAGAAAAGGAACGGGTCTGATGGTTGTTTGTCTCGTCCACATACCCATCAACCTTGCCTCATGCAGGCAAAGTCTCACGTGGACAACGCCAAGGTTGAAGAAATGTGATCTCCTCAGCACGGGGTTGGAACTGTGTCTGTCGAGCTGAACTTCAAGCGCGTCGAATGGCTTGGCTCGTCTGTCTGAACGCAGGCATGCGCAATGCATACTGGCATACAGCTAAGCACAGGCCCTGTATCCTTCATTGAATGTACACTAACTTTACTGAACTTTAAAACAGATTGCAAAGGCTCACGGAAACTTGAGATGAGAGACGAGGCCCACAAGACAGATGGTCTTACATCATTACACAAGAGTGACAAAACACAATCCCGAGCTTGCATTTTGTGTTGTGCCCGCTGGTCTTTGCTGTTTGTGCCTGTTCGTATCCTGAGTTCTTCACTTGTTTTTCATTGGGCGGGCTGATGTGGGGATAGCTTCAAGTGAGAGTTTCTGCTATTACTTGGAGAGCACAATCCGAACGTTACTTGCGTAGGTCTCCCGGAGACAGCTGCCAGAATCCCACCTTTAGACGATTCCTTTACCCATTCTAGCATTGTGGATGAAGGTGAATTGAAGGATCATTGATTATCGTGCTCTAAGAAACCTGAGAAACCATTCCCCAAATTTTGCCTTGCTCACGCAGCGTGCCAGACTGAGGACAGTGCAGTTCCAGGCGGTTGCTGCTTCAGCTAGGGCAGCTTACGGGCAGAAGCGAGTCTGAACCCAAAAAATGGGCTCATGTAGCTTGGATAAGACGGATTATCCGTGATTGGCTCCTCATTTATGAGACCTCTGTGCATCGTGGCACTTCGTCCCTGTTGAGGACTGAGGTTTCCGGGTCGGTTTGCTGGGGTCGCTGGAGATCTCCTTAGAAAGTTGTTGAGCCACAGAGTGGGTTTCGTGGCTTAGGTTCCCCCTGAACATTCTGGGCTCCCACAAACGACTTTCACAGTCACTATTGGCTTTTGGAAGACTCATCGCGCGCCGGCAGCCCAAGGGCTAGAAGTCGGAGTCATTCCGTCAGCGATCCCGGCAAGCACTTAGGATGAAATGAAGACACTGGATTGGGAAAGATCACGGCTCCTCTAGCAGAACAGGATGCTTTCATGTGCTGTCCGAGGCTTCGCCAGGTTCAGTCCAAAGGCAGCTAGCCGTTTTTCAGGGGCCCTCTCACAGTGATCATTGTTTTTTGTTCAGAAAGGACCCTATGTATTAGAGAAATGGCCGCATCCGGGTTCTGCTGGTGCATAATCTGGCGCATCCAGTCACCCTGGGCAGCCGGCAGCCCGACCACCATTATTCTGTAAACCTAAAGGACCTCAACATGCTTTTGCACAAATTACCGTTGTGAGGGGATTTTGTACAAACATGTTTGTACAGACATGTTTAAGGCTGGGGGCCGCTCTGGGCCAAGCTCGTACTGCCGCAGGCGCCAATCATTGACGCGATGAACATGCGGTCTGCCTGGGCCAAAGTGTTCACGGGCAGCTGCAGAGGTGTTAAAATCGGCAAACAGATCACATCTAGCGCATTAAGCAGTTTCCTGCGCATGTGTACTGTGTCATTTTTGTTGGTGAAGCTGATAGACATGAATTTATGAGCCCTGCATAAGAACATGCCAGTGTTTTTCTGTCCTCATCCTCATGCGTCTAAGAGTAGTAAACTTCATGCCATGAACTTGACTGTTTCAGGGTGCTTAGCTGGATTGCTCTCGCTTCAACATGCGCTTGTGACACTTTTGCTGCTACAGCTGCTAGCGTCCATCCAGCCGGAGGTTATCGTATTTCATCAGCCCCTGGTTTGATAAGAATGCCGGTGTTTTGCATGTAACTCGAAAACTCGCCTCAGGTGCTGGCACAGCAAGTTCCCTTTGCGGAAAAGCTGGCCAAGGTGCCCCCGCATGGTGCCTCTTTTGTTCGGGGGTTATATGTTGGGGTATATATTGGGGTTAATATTGATGATGGAAAAGAAAATGCAAACTACTTATAATGGGCTATATATTATAGAGTATGTGCTTCACATTTGTTGTCTGCTTATGCTGAGAATTGTCCTGCCCGTTTATTATCCATCACTTGTTAGCTTTTCTTTCGTGACTCTCGTGTTGTCTTTACAATAGTCACTCGGAGGGCTAGCATAGTCGTGTGTGAGGTGAACGGCTTTTTGTTCTCCACGGCTGCACATGCATAGCGTCTGCCTACCGCACCACACTAGAAAACCAGTTTTACAACATGGAGCTGTTGTGTCAACGCGCATTCCTCAGTAATGAACCAGCTGGGGCCAAAGCTTGCTTGCCTTGATGCGAGGGCCGAGAAAGTTCACGCAGGCCTATAGAGCATTTTGGCCACAACCCTTCCACGTCGGACTTTAATTAGGTTCATTGCGAGGTCAGAACATTCAAACAAGCGCTGATTGAAGAAATTGCCTGAAACCATTCTTCAAGGCAATTCTTCTCCAAAAGGTTGTCGATCGCTTTCCTAGCCTTCCTGCATGAATTGCCGCAATTGCGTTCTACCTCCCGGATTTCAAGTTTAGAAACAAGCCAGAAACGACGTTGGCTATGGATCTTGTGGGATGGCGCGTTAGATCTTTATCTTGACATGATGGGCCTAGGAAGCGAGCTTTATCGGGTAATGTAGAGGCCTGAAGGATTAGTTTGATGTATGTATCCCTTCTAGCCAAGACTTGGCTATCTCACAACATGCGCCCCAAGACCTATTCTTGTTGCCAAAGGCCCTGCATAAGCAGGCTTGCTCATTGGCGCTTGCATCGGGGATCTTCACCTCCTAGGTCTCCTGAACTGGCAGAGTTGATGTGATTTGAAAGGGTTTTCCAACCTTTCCTTTCATTTTGTTTACTGCTATAGTTCTTGTTGTTGTCGCTACTAGTATTATTGTTGATCTTTATGAGAACGTTGCTGCGCCGTCGGCCCGTAGCCGTTTGAACGGTTTAGAGGACTTCCGGAGGATTCTGAGCTGATGGATTGTGCGCAGGCTGCTCGTCTCAAGATCCCTTGAGTGGTTCACACCTGGTACTACTCCACGACCACCAGCTAACATCATCCATACACCTAAGCCTTCTTCATCCCAACTAGTGCATGACATGACATGATACCAATATCTGTACCCATTCTGTAAACATTACCACTGCAATCCTGTTGCTCCCCCTTTGAATGACCGCCCAAATTATGGTACGACAGATTGAAGATGAAAGCGCAAGGTCGTGCTTCACAGCTTGTGCTGGTTTTACATAGGGGATAGGGATAGGGAAAATTCTGAACACAGCAATCATCCGTTGGGATCCCTTTGTTTTTCCTGGCAATTTCAGATTTACGAGCAGCATGCGCCTCAGGCATACATGCTATTTTGAAACATGCGGGTATCGAAAAGCCTTCATGTTTCTGTTGGCTGGCGGGACCACGACTGTCTACTCCCACGGCTTCAAACTTCTAATCTAACAATCATACATTTCTGCATGGCAAAACGGTTAGAGCTACAATTGCCATACCACAGAGAACGGCTTAACGGCCTCAACAGGGAATTCGAGCGCGAAGCAATGAGGCCTCTGCATTCTGATGTCTACATTGTCAGAACCGTGGGATTATTAAAAAGTTGATCAACACAAAAGGTCTGTTGTAAAGAAGATTGGAAGACTTGGCGGAATGCGGATCTACTTGGGGTTTCAGCCTAGCAAGACCTGCTTCATGCTTACCCAGCAATAGGGGTCAAAGTCCTGTCACGAACCATCCGCCTAGAGGCTATATTGCAAGCCGTCCTTACCCGACCCAACTTTTTGGCTACAGGCCCTTGGCCACAAGATTAGCGTTGCACAAGGAAACTGACAGAGAGATGTAGGCAGTAGTGGCGTAACCAGACTGCAAAAACCTTTTTAACACTCTGTTGTAGCCAGGAGGCAACTGCAATGATTTTTTGTGGCTTCAAGACTTACACACAAACAAACAGTGGGCCTCAATGTCAAATACTCTACGCAATACCAACCACGATCTCTAAACCCATGCAACTCTTGGAGGAAACCCTAGCCGATGTACTTCGCTTGGAATACCCTCACGGCTACTTTTTCCGCTGGGTAGGGAAGGAGGAAGGGATCTCTATATTCTACAAAGCCAATCTCTGTGCTCATGATTTCATTTTCCAATACTAACTAAGCACTGTACCAAATGGATAAACCATTCCTCTCTTATTGCTCAGGGTGTGGTGTACTCCATGCCTCCCACTGGGCTGCCAGCTCCGCACGCTCGAGGTGAAATTGAAGGCCAGATGAGTTGCCGCAATCATTCAGCAGTCTTTGGGGTTGCACGTAGAACAATATCTTGAAGAACCCGAGTCTGCTTCTGAATTTGTTGAAGACGAATACGCGTTGGTCTTACTGAAAGAGGAGGCTAACAGTGGAGCAAGATGAGGGAACCGCAAGGTTTCTCGGCATCATCTCTCCCCTTCCTATTCAGTGCCATAGTGCAGACTATTGGGGCTTGGAATCCCATAGTTACTCTTGCTTTTCGAGGCATCTTGTCAAAGCATATCATAAGCATATCTGCGTCCTGCATCGCATGATGGTCTTCGTGGGCATGTGGCATGAGGTCAACATAGAGGTGCAGGCAAACTTCAAGATTCAAGCTTGACTGTTGAATGTGAAGGTTTTGGCAGACTTACCCAGCTCCATTGAATGGTCGTGCTGGGTACACTTTTCGTCTTAGTGTAACCCGCTTCTTGGCGAGAACACGATGCTTTATACCTCAGGCTTATCAGGGTCGCAAGTGGTACAAGCTTGCCTCCATCAGGAAATGCAGCCCCCAATCGATGCTACTTTGCTACTCCTGGCTAGTTCATGGGTGTTCATGGGTGGTTCATGGGACTCCGTAATTGGATTTACATTCAATCAACGCTTTCTCCTCAAGAAACACGACGTGCAGACGCGCTGGGGCAGAAGAGCGGAAGAGTAGCCACTTTAGTGACAACCATGGGAACCCACCCAGCTCTCAGGCCCGTCTATAACCCCAATATATGGGGATAATGGAAAAGAAAATGGAAACTATAGGGATTGTAGGGTTTATACATAGGGATTATTATATACATATATACCCCCAATATACTATAGTAGTTTCCATTTTCTTTTCCATTATCCCCATATAGCCCCTATTTACTATAGTAGTTTCCATTTTCTTTTCGATTGTCCCCGAGGGAGCACCAGCGTGCAGGGAAGCAGGCAAAGTTGGTACGGGGGGGTGCGGCTGCTCAGCTAGTCCATGCTACAGGCAGAATCCCCCTACCACAACCAGACAATGTGTACTACAACCAAGCCATTAGGGAAAACCAACCACCCTTATCGTAACCAGGTAGTCACCCAAAGTTGCAGGGTTTCAAAGTGGGGGGGGCCTTTCAGAAAACAAGTTCATTCCCCAAAACCTGAATCCCGTCATGTAACAAAAGGATCCGAACCGCCTTCGGCCTCTTCCAAAACCTTCCAGAACTAAACCCCTAAACCCTAAATCAGTAGTTTCCAGCTTCTTTTCCATAATCCCTCTATATCCCTCTATAACCCTATTTTACCCTGTATATTATCCCAAACTTGAAAGAGGCAAGATTTTCTTCAACCCTCTATTACACATCCCCTGCAGTCGCGCTTTTTGGGAGTGAAGCCACAAGGTTTAGGGTTCAGGGTTTACCTAAACACCAAAAGTATGTAAAATAAAAGCCCTAAACCCCTAAGAACAGCCATAAAGGCCATGATTTTTACATACTGTTCGGGCGCAGGTAGGGTTTAGAGTTTAGGGTTCGTAGTTTAGGGTTTAGGGCTCAGGGATGCGTGGATTTCCCCAAAATTTGGGCACCTTAAAAGGGGGTTTTAGGGGATATATATAGGGATTATGTGGGATTGTATAGTGCTATATAGGGTTTAGGGGTTTCCCCAACTTAGGGGTACTTTTTTGGGGGTACCAATGAGCCGATGATAAGGATTATAGTATTTTGGGGTCTATATTGGGGTCCCCTTATGTAGGGAAACTACTATGTCTGGTTGCGGTATGAATGTTCAAACAGGTTGCCCTCGCCGACCGCCGCTTATGTCATGCGACGACTCTCTTGTGAAGACCTGTGCCAAAACCGCAGCTGGGCAGTGAGTTTGATGGGGCCCACTTATCTGCAGTGATCTGAACATGTTTGTATTCAGTATCCCCATGCGTGGCTCTAAGTCAAGACTTCAGTTGATATGAACATCTGTTGCATTATGGCTGCACATATATTGGCTTCTTCATTGCATCCCACAAAAGGCCCAGAGTTCCATCAACCCACGAGCTCACCCGCCCCTTCAGAAATTTAGTTGGGCCTCAATGCTTGGCAGCCGCCCTTGTGCGGACTCATAACTCCCAGGCCAGTGCGATGACCATTGCCGATGGCGTGAACTTGTGCCCCTCAACTTCATGCAGCAGTAGCCAAAATCGTAGTCTTTTGGCCTGCTCATGGGCAGATCCGCAGTTGGAGCCATGCCGCCATGCCTTGGAACCTAGGGCTGAGGGGTTTTCACGCAGACAGAGGTTTTGAGGGCTGGCGGATGGTACGCATTTAAGGTTCTGGATGTTTCCCTTGATTTATCAAACTTCTGCCGCCTTGCTGCTGGCCTGTCTTCCCTCGGGAACTTGTCCCCCCGTCTTAGAGCTTCACACTGATAGAGTCTTTCTGTAGGGAATAGCTTTAATAGCATGACAAGTAGTGGCCACATGCCTGTTTACTGGGTCCACGGAAGTTGGGGTTAGTTGATTAGTGTAGAACTTCATGCATGGAAAGGTTTCCTAGTTTGAGGCCCGGCATTGCGCAGGAAGAGGCTACGTGCAGCTCTTGATAGCTCTTGATAATTCACGAGGGACCTCAACATCTGGC